AAAGAGCTTATTAGAGCAGGTGTAATTAGCTGCTGTGTTGTTTTAAGCCTTCCCTGAAACACACACCGACATTGTACACACCACATTATGTGTACCTGGTGTATATTTAGAATATATATTATACGTCCTCGCATTTCTTTGCCTACGTGAGCGAATTTTTGCTTGGAAATAAGAATGTCTACTTGTTGTCTTTTAACTTTGAATTATGTTGCCATTAACACGTAGCAGACAGTAATCATTTCAACCTCTTGATTGCTCGGATGCAATTAGCTCCTGTTACCATTGCCGTGTAAACATCATTTCATCTGATGTTTGTAAATGTCCAGCAATCACACTAAAATGTACGATAAAAACATAAAGATGGCAGGCTAAATATATAATGAGATGACTATAAGCAGACGTTTAAAAAGAATACTGTGTTGAATGCAAATATATCTAAGAAATGGAGGGGCCGAGCGTGAAATGAAGAGAATGACTGAAGGGAGGGAACCATACGAGGAGCGAAGAGATAAAACACGACGCAGGAGGGATGAAAACATGAGGTGGACACGAAGCCTAACAGCCCTTTCCCTACACACACACACACACACACACACACACAAAAAAAAACACTAGCAAAGATCCCACGGAGACTTTCAATTTCCAGTCCTCTAATTGCATTAGAAGTGCCCTGCTCTCGTCTCCCCTCGCTCTATTCCTCACGCTTTCCTTTCTTCCTCTGTGGTGCGCAGGAGTTCTGGCGGGTTTGGTTTTAGAAAAGCAAAAGTCAAATGAGCGAATCGTGTGTGGTCACTTTGTCTGAGCGCAGCCCTCGCCGCTCTCTGGGTTCATGTTGCAGACCTGCTGAGTTCCAGTGGGTTTCATGCAGGTTTACATTCCCACCACGAACCACACAGAGTGCTTCCTCAGTGAGGTTTGGGTGGATTAAAGCCCGGCCAACATGATGACTCATCCCTCGCCTACACATTTGCTCACATAATATCAGTGGATAGTACATTGTTCAGCAGTACTAATTAGTTATCTATTTATTTTTTGGAAGATTTTTGAGGAAGAGCAAATCTGCCTCTCATCCCCTTCGCTGAGGACCATGTGACCTTATCATACTTGTTTCATTCACTTTTCATGTACATTCCTGTCTGTGTCTGGCTTCAAACTTTGGAAATTAAATCCGGTCACATGTCATGTGACAAGAAAATACTGTAAGTGTGTGTGTGTGTGTATCTGTGGTTGGGAGGGGGAAGCTCACAGCAGTCAATGAAACAGCTGTACTCAAGGCTAACAGCCAAAATCATAAGGTTAATCAAGTTAAAATATCTGACAGAGGAACCCCTAAAAAATGTCTGGAATAGCTATTAATGAATGGACGAAGAAATAATCTACCATGAATTATTCATGGCCTTCAACTCCTGATTACAATTTGTTCTTTATAGGATCCATTAAATCTCTTTTTGTCTTCATACGAGATTACAGGCAACTACAAGCGAGGAGTTTGTGCGTTAGAACCAACAGCGTGCTTGTGATACGATTCCACACAGTGTTGCTCAGCGTTAAATTAGCAAACACATGCTTTAAACCACCTCTGAAACAAAGGCACACAAAACAAATGGGGGAATAGACAAAAGCTGTGAAAATGGAGAATCTATAATTGAGTTTGAGAGCCATATGTGTGTCTGCTTTCATCAACAGATTATTGACTACGGAGTTTCCTCTTCCTACTTACTGACTTCCTTTGAGAGAGAACCAATCAGAAGAGTTGAATTAAGAGCCCACTTATCTTAAGTGCTCCCTCCTGGCTTCGTCACACAATCCAAACTTCAGACGTTGCCAATGGCGAAGTATCTCAGTTTAACTTATTCAAATTGTACCTATTTCACCCAAAAAAAGAGTCAATATTTTTCAGTCTCTCTCTTCTCCGCAGTGTGAGAGGTTGTGAAACAGCCTCATTCCAAGCAGAGGTCTGTAATGGCACAGAACATAAACCAACGTTATTACTCATCCAATTTATCAGCCGCTAAAATACCTCTAAGAGCAAAGCAGGCCTGGCGGGTCCGTTTCTGACCTGCCTTCTCATTCCGTCTCTACGCTGTCTAACACGACGGGCCGCTTTGTTCCTCTTTCTCTGTCCATTATTTCCTCTCAGGTTCGGTCATCGTTAAAACGGGTAAAGACACTGAGACGCTGTCCGTGGTGCTGAAATGTCGGCAGCAGAAACACCTCTGTGCTCGGCTGCATCTGTGATTTAAGACCACACGTTGATAACAACGGCGGCAGGTTTGACGCGCTGTACTGTACCTGCGGTTTGGCTCTGATATTTGCTTGATAAAAATGTGTTAAGAGACATTTATATTTTCTAACTTTTTCTTTGTGGAGTGTGGATAATGTGTTCATCTGCTGACCAAACAAGTGCAACTCCTTTTAGTTATTCTTTCTTTTAGAAACTGTAACCCATGCAAATAGAAACTGTGGTAGATATCTATCCATCGCTTAAAGGGTATAAGGTGGAGCACTTATGCAGTATATCAACATATCTATTTAATAATATGAACCCACACTCTGCTGCAGCAGGGGATTGAGTCATTGTGAATGTGATTGGTTCGAGGTAGCAGAGACAGTAATGACACAGCATAGGAAATTGGATGCAATGTCATAATATTCATTATTTTGGCTGAATGCTAAAAATTATAGATCACTATTATAAGATCACAAAAACAAAACATACGGTTCTTTTTTGTAATTTTTGTTTGGCTATTTGCAGAAATAACGGTAACAAAACATTCAATGCCAACAGCTTTTCATGGTGTTGACTTTGAATATGAGGTCTATCAGTCTAACTCTGTTTCCATCTCTCTCTTTTTGTCCCTCCCTCCCTCCCTCCCTCCCCCAAACACTCTCCTCTCCTCACCCCCACACTCCTCTCTCTCAAAGATGAAACCAATTTTTCAGCCCCCGCTGAGGACAAATTACTCCTAATAATCCCTTGTTTCCTGAAGAGGGCCTCTTTCTTTCCCACTCAGCCGGGAGACCAGAACCTTAATGGATATGCGGAATTAGCGGGGAAATGTCAGAGAGGGCTTATTAACGGCGGGCGGTCTTCTGCTTTTCGGGACTGCATCGTGAAGAGAGAAGCCGCCGCATTGCCACGTCGGAACGGTTGACAAGCCGACTTTTGATTCGACGGTAGAAGACGTCCGTGGTGGAGTTCAATCAGACGGATCACAGAAATGATGTTTAGAGTGCTGCTCATGTCTGTTGTTTTGGTTGTTTACCAGTGCGACGGCGGTTAAGGTCACACATTTCGTCACGTGTTTGTTGTACCTTTAAATATTACACTTTTGTTCCGCTCCTCAGATGTGGGATTGTTTATTTTTGGGGTTTTTTAGGGAGAATCATGCAGGACTTGATGAAAGCTTTCACATCCGGCCGGCTTTGAAGATTCTAGCTCATAATTTGATTCCTTCTTCTTCCATCCTCCAAAGACCCTGAAACGTTGCGGCTTTCATCTCGGTGACCTCTGACCCGAGGCCCCTCTCCGGGAGAGACACGACGAGCAACCAGCAATCCACACCCGGCCATTTTGGTAAACAAATCAGCGGGCGCAATGACTTCTGAGAGCATCCATTTTGATGCTTTTACCAAAAGGAGAGATGAAGGGACAGAGAATTAAACTGGGCGAGTAGGTGAATGTGTTCAAAGACATTTGCATTCGGTCGGGTGCGTCCTGTGCTAAAGTTAACGTCCTTTATCACACAACGCAAACAAACATACTCATTCGAACCCAAATACATTATCTTTTGTTTCAATATCAAGTGGTTTTGTTTTAATTCACATCACAACAGGTTTCAAACCGTTTATCTATAACAATGTACTGGCAGGTGCGGTTGAAGCATTGGAAGAATGAGAAACGCTGAACCGGCTATTCAACGGGCTGATCGCACTCAAAGGGGTAATTGCAGTTTACTTGCATAGCGGACGGGAGCAGACGCTGGTGAATAATACAGAGTTACTGGATAACAACCAATCAGGCTTATCAGGAGATTTGGACTGGACTTCACATATTACACTAAACTGAAACAAGGTCCAGCCTAATTGATCCTAATGGGATAACTAATTAAATGGTATTTTTGTCATTAATGGTAATTTATGACATGAACAGACATATTTTAAATTGATGTTCAAAGCTGAAGCCTCACATTCATATACTTCTGTTTCTAAGTATTCAGGGGGAAGATATGTGGCATTTCCAACCCGAGAGTTCTATTCACACTGCCCCCTTAAAAAAAAGAAAATAAAAGCTTGCAAAATCCCAACAGCACCGCTATTTGAAATGATGGTTTCAAGCTTGCAAAAGCCTGAACAAAATTGGGTTTCCTCACTAGGGCTTTGGTGTTTGAAGGAGGGCTATCAGGCCAGATTAGCACTATCTCAGTGGTAATGGAACTAGGAGTATTTTGAAAAGCATCATCCTCCTTCTCCTCCTCCTCATCACCTTTTTTAGTGCGAAGTTCTTGGTTTCCGTAGCCGGAGCATCGGTGTCGGTTATATAATGTGTCTGATTTCATCACTGAAAGTATGAAGTAATGGTGCTGATGATGAGAAAGGTTACAAATATAAGATAACTTATATGATAACAACGCATCTGATGTTTTCCTTCACCTGTTTTATGTCAAGGTTTGCCGTCTTCCCCAGACAGGAAGCATTGAATTTAAATCAGAATAGGAATTTGCATTGAAAGTAATATTTGCTTTATACTTGGTGCTTGTCATTTGAAAACCTGTGAGGGTGAAACCTGCTGTGTGTGTGTGTGACCAGGGGGCTGGTAGCAACAGCAGGGGGTAAACTAGCTGACCTTTAGCGCTCTGATCAACCTGAAGGGAAGGACTGGACTGGAGGTGTCAGCAGGAAGGTTAGGAGAGAAAAATCTATTTCCAGCATAAGAAATGTGTGCCGCTCGGCACGTCAACGCGTGCGACCACAGATGTCTGCGTCGAGTCACCTCTTACCTCAGCCAGGGGAACGATCCCCTGTATGTCAGCGTTGCTGATGTAGAGGTGCGAGACCTTCTCGGTTTGCCTGGAAGAGGCCTGCGCGCCCGCCGGGTACTCGATGTTCCAGTGGAGCGTCTGGGTCGGCACCAGGTTGATCACGTTGTCCACCTCAAATTCCAGCTGCATCACCTCGTACGATGGACTCTCCAACCTGCAGACACAAGAGAGAAAAGTGGTGGTTAATGGTTTTTAACATTTGCCGCGTTGAGCCTGGATAACTGACTCGACAACGTGAAGAGCACTACTGGATGAGCATCTCAAAAGCTGTGTCTGAGAAAACTAAGGAGTCTCCCTTCCAGCCACTGTGTGAGAGTGAGACATTATTAAATCACTTATTACCAAAAGAATCCGTTCATAACAGTAATCACTTTTAGATTTATGTTCAACTTTCTCTCTGGTAGTTTTTTTTTTTTTTACTTCTACCTCTGTTCTGATTCCTACTTACAGAAATGTGACACTTTGTCATTTTGACAACTCCGAAACCGAAACCGCGGTGCACATCGTGCCCTCGCAGCTTTGTAGACTCATTACCCGCTTCTCCTCTCCTCCTGTCAGACCGCGACTATCTGCTGCCGGCATGAATCACACACCGTTGATCATTAGTGCCCCACAGACGTTCTCTGCATCGTCTTCTCCCACAGCCGACGCCACAGTCGGGGTCGGCGGCTGCATTCGTAAGTCAAGGTTGTGTCCAAGTTCAGAAGGAAACGAATGACCGTCGAGTCCTTTGTGATTTCATCGGGAGCACGCGGAGGAAAAGAAACACGGCGGGTCTTAAATAAAACACGGGTTTTCCGCGGTCGCGGCATTGAAATGGAGCGTACGTCTGACGTCCGTTGGTTCGTTCATCTCGTTCTGTGACACAAGCCGGCTTGTGGGACGTGAATCAGAAAAGAAAGAAGTAAATTGATTTTAGAGCCCACGTTTTATATTGGTCTTACAGGCATCTGGGACGGACACACACACACACATGCACAGATATATATAATGGTTAAAGGTCATGACAAACCCAATTGCCAGGGGTCTGTGATATCTGGCGCCTGTCTGCGTGTGCGTCGGGGCCGCCGGGGTGAGCGATTTCTTACACAGATAGATTAAGGAGGGAAAATTGATGGGTGTCAGCTCCCCTTGACCCCTTCCAGATTTTTCCATCATGCGTGCTTTTCTTTCATCGATGCCCCCCCCCCCCCGGTCTGTTACCAAACCCGGCCCGCCTACAAAATGCCTGTTATGATTTCATCTTTTTTCCTTATTGCAAGCTGCTGTGTTCCAATGGCTGCCAGAGACGGGACATCATTGCTGATTTAATAAAAAGCACAGGTAGTAAGTTGATAACGGATGATTGTGAATCTTGAAAAATTTTTCAATTGATTGAAATGTTAATGCCTAATTAGCGCAGTAAAAATAAGTATTGACAGAAATAGTTTCAGGTGCAATTTTTTAAATCAAATTAAAAAGCTGCACAGGAATGGAAAATTAAGAAAATCTCCGTTGGTGCTCAAAATTGCTTTTTGTGCTTGAGGTGCTTTGAATTTTGAATTGTGCAATGAGACATGCAGCCATCTTTGCTTAATAGTTTCTGATGAAGTGGACATTTAAATAATGCACAAAAAACATGGCAGGTAGCAGCGACAGCAGGTACGCACGTACCAATTAGACTAAATTAGAAACAAAGAACAGATAAATCTCTCTGCTTTTTCTCCCATAAATATTCCTAAACTTCACTCCTACTATTCCTAATTATTTTTTTCTGGATAGAAAGTCACCATCTATAGTGGAGATTGCCCTGCCTTTTATATGAGCCAGAAATATCCACAGTCAATAACACAAATTGAAACTGCGACGTTGCAATTGGTTGTAAATTTGACGTGTCGGCATGGAATTAATCTCACATAAGACCCTAAATGTCACTGCGAGTGTTTATTTATCGCAGCTCACTGAAACGAAGGAGCTTTTTTATAGTGGATGAAATCAATCTGGAGTGGAATGTCAGCTCAAAATCACCGAATGCTACCAGGGTACAGGTATGTCTCATTTAGTCAAGGTAATCGGTAACACTTGCAGTTCAGTCCTTGTACTCACATTTATGAATCAACTAAACATGGACTGTCTGGAGTAATTCACGCCACAATATCGGCTCACTCGCCTAAACACGTTGGTAGGAAAGCTGTTAAAAGCATGAGGAGACTGACTTTTCCCTTTATCTCAACAATACCAAACTTCAGTGAAACGCTATTAACTGTGATTTTAAAAAAACAGAATAATTCATAGCTGTGGTCTGTGACAGAGTTCAAATAATATGGAGAAACTATTGATTATCTGAAATCCTCAGAAATCCTGCAACTATAGAAAAATAAACGGTAGATTATGTCACTCAATGAATATCAATCTTCTAAAATACTGTACTATACTGTAAAAGAAATGTCAGAGGCTGGCAAAAAATGCTAATGCTGAACTAGACAATGCTAAGGCTAAGGCTGTGTATTTCCAAAAACTAGTATTTTGTCCCAAAAAATGATGGCATTGAAAAAGTAAAAAAAAAGTAAATAATAAAAATAAAGACAACTTGAATAATGACGTTAATGATACTTTACAGGGCACTTTTATGAAAAGGAAAATATTCCAGTTTTTTTCAATGATTCTTTGGGTAAATCTGTAATTTGGTATTCTTAAGAATCACGCCGACAGCTTTATGCCTCTTCTCGATCATCTGATCAGTGCCTGTGTCCTGTCCTCCTGAGTCCTAACAACCTGTTCTTCAACACAAAAGTCCCTTTCAATGGTAATAATGCCCTTCTCATATCTGTCTAAGTGCTACACGCATCATCGAGCCATAACATTTTACTCACAAATCCAGAACAATAAACTCCCCTCCACCACTTACGGCTCCAAGACACAACTCAAGTCAGGAAGACATCACCAGATCCATTTTGCTTGCACTTATTCCATTACCGCCTTACAAAAGCAATTATGGTCAGAGTTCTCTTTTTTTTTCATACGTCCACTAAAGTTGGAAATGAGATCCAATACAACATTAAAGCAATATTCTCCATTACACAATTCAAACGGGCAGAAAGAAAGAAAACACCTGCAACTACTGATTTTATATCTTGCTCACACTCTGTCAGGTTCTGTCCTGAAATGTCTGCATAGCTATTGTTAGTTTTTACTTGCCATGGTAATGTGGTTCTGCCTGTTATCAGCTGCAGAACAGCAGCACGAACGTGGCTCAATGAGCTCCTTTCTTCAATTTGGTACTCGTCTATTTTGCACTGTATGACATCCGTAACCTTCTCCCTTAAAATCAACGGACAAGACCTCTGTGACTGCAAAGTTAAAGCGGCCATGGTGCTCCAAAGTAGTCATTGAGGCAAACTGGTAAATGAACACGACTCTGGTATCATCGTCATCGCAGGCGCAACCTTCCAGACAGACAGTATTTAATACTACAAATGTGTTTTCACCAATGGGGAAATATTGTGAATAAACTGAAATTTCCGAGGGGGAAAAATACTGTGCGTTAATCATATAACATTAAATGTTGGTTAAATGACCTTAAACAACGAGGGCTGTTTAACCTAGAGGAACTTTAATGTTCAAAACCTGGATTTGTTTATTACCGTTACTTCAATGTGACGTGATCGCAGCATTTTTTTCGTTGAGGTTATGTAGGTCTAGGTGATATTTCTTCAAAAACCATCACTGTGACTCCAATCACCCTCTCAAGCTGCCCCCTGCAATTTCAGTCCTCTGTCAGATAAAGTGTCATAAGTTCCTCTGTGAAGGACACGCAATAGATTACAGTGGTTTCTGTGTGATGCAGCAGAGTAGCAAAGAAGGACAAAAGAAATGGGAGAAATCTTTATCCACAGTTCCTTTCGCCAGAGGAAGGTCCACCGTGCCCCGTGTGTGTGTGTGTGTGTGTATCCATCAAAACGACGTGCTCCAAGGACGGCGTAAAAGTAACATCGTTTCATATCTTCCAGGAGGAACCCTAAAAGACGGAAGAGGTTTGGACAAGTGCACAGCGCAACACAATGCTCCGTCACGCACACTCTTTGTTCATGTCTCCCTCACATACATGCACGCAGGCAGGCAATGCACAAGCTACACACCTGTCTCCACACACACACACACACACTCAAAACCGAACAACAAACCACCTAGAAAACGTGGAGTGTGTTTGGGTGCGGTCTAATCGCTGGAGCTGAAAAACCAATGTGTCTGCGGTGACAGGTTCATTCAGGTGTTAGCTCCGTCCCGACCACAAGGCTCCAAAACAATATTACACTGTCCTCTGGTGTATACCTCTTCGCCTGTACACACACACACACACACACACACACACACACACACACACACACACACACACACACACACACACACACACACATACATACCGGTCCATTGTTCAGTCACAGTTTGGACAGTGTCTATAAGAGGTGAACGTAGTACATTGTTCTTGGCTGCATTGAGGCCATAAACTCATATATGTGGATAGATATAAAGATATATGTTCTTTTTGCAATATAAGGTTGGCCATTGAAATATTGACTCTTCCAAGATAACTTTCCGTTATCTTTGTGTTCGTATTGCAAGCCCAGTAGTAAACATACACTTTAGAGTGATTGCTAGGAGGGACGTTTGAAATATATGTGAGGGGGGTTGGTTGATTATGAAAACCACTGAGTTCCATTTTCACAAATTATTTTCACAGTTCAGCTCAGTGCGGCTCCTCAGTAATTCACACCTTGTTGGTTTCTGGGTTTTTTTCCACCCGAAGAGAAGCAGTTAGTAGCTAAAGGAAAATCTCTCCCTTTGTTTGCAAAACGCACACACACACACACACACACACAAGTGCAGGGAGGACAGGTTGTCTTATCAAAGTGTACTGTAGGAAAGTGGTGGTCTCAGGGGAAATTCAAAGGACAATAGAGAACACGCACACACAGACTTACAAACACACAAAGAGACACGCAGCGCTGGCGAGGCGAGAGGAAACCTCCGCGGGGAGAAAGCGCTGCAGGAAAGAAAGGATGGAACACGGAGGATGACCACAAAAAGCTAAAGGCAATCTTTTTTGGCTTTTTGCTCAGAGGAAGTTGTCACTTACGCCATTTTCCCTCAGCACCTGCAGAGCCAGTGGCTGAC